TTTGAGACATACAGAGTCGTTAATGATTAATATAACTCAATGTTAAGATAAAACAGTATTTAATTTTCAACCGCAAATAAATACTTAACAAGAACAAAGAAGTAAAAGTCAACCAAAGATAATTAACCATTTCAATGAATACCTTGTTAGCAGCTCGACTCGGCTCGGCTCGGCTTAACGTCCGCTAAACCTAAATCAAACCCAAATCATTGACGCACAATAATTCACACTAATTCGACTGGATAGTTCCACTCAATAGTCACTCAATAATCACTGCAGTCAGTAGCCTGACACTGCTATTTATACACCTGGCGGAAAACATACATTTATAAGTTCAGAGTGTCACGCCTGCACCTCGGTGTCGGTAGTTACGCATTTTCTTCCTATAAGACCCCTCCCTTTTGGAGATGACATCTCTAGAGTCTATATCTTTTCGGTTTGAGTTCAATATTCAAATGTTCGATTGCTGTTTTTTTTTTTCTTACTGTATCATTTACTGAGAGGAGAGATCTTGAACGATACAGGAGACCGAACTATTTTTTCCAGCATTTTCAGGGATTGATCGTATGTACGAGTTCTACGGGGTCTGGGTAGGGAATATGTCCCAATAGGCGATCAAGACCCTGAGTGAAGACACGTACATCGCGAAGGAGGGTAATTCTGACTGATATTGATACTTAACACCTCCATTCTTTTTTAAATTGATAATACTCTCCTAAATTAATGAGCACTTCAACACAATGTATTATTTATGAGGCCTGTCGGAAAAGTAACAAAACTGGTGTCATACCTGGCACATGGCCCGTCGCTGTGCTGGTGGTACCACAGCCACGACAAGTTTTAGACCAGCTCTGACCAGCTTGGACAAGCTATGACCAGATAAGACCAGCATAGACCAGAGGCCTGAGTGAAAACGCTAAGGTCTCCACGTTAAAAACTAACCTTGTGTCACAACCTGACTCAGTTAAGGGGGAGGTCAAGTAAATCTCCATAAACAATTTATTTCAATTCCAAACTACATGATTTCTCCTTCAAATAATCCACCTTCAATCTAAAACATTTTTCGAGCTTTTTTCTGCACTACGCTTCAGTTCACTGCAGGAATGGTTCTTAGATTCTCTCAGCTTGGCCCTTACGTCCTTCTTGATGGCCTCCACACCTTCAAAACACGTTCCTTGATGATCTCCTTGAGCTTTAGAGAAAAAAAACAGTCACAAGGAGGAAGATCAGGTGAATAATAATGTTGTTTCAATACGGCAATGTTCTTCTTGGTCAATAACTACCGTATATTCAGGGCGTTGTTGGCAGTTGCATTGCCGTGGTAAATCAGCTACGATTTGTCTTGCCACACATCTTTGTCTTGGCACACATCGTGTCTCTTCTCGCGTACCGAGCGAAGCAAACGCCGTTGGATCTCTTTGTAGACTTGCTGATTGAGCCTCTTACCCTGTGACGAGAACTCACTTTGAACGATACCTCTTACATTGAAGAAGAAAGCCAGTCCCGTTACTTTTCAGACAGACCTCGTAAAAATCTACTTGTACAGTATCTACAATGGATTTTATCCGTGTTCTTGTCTGTACTATTTTTAAATGTTTACCAGTTTCCATTAGTTACAAATAATTAACTATAGGTGATGAAGACATTTAAACATAGAGTAGGTAGCTTCAAATGTAGTTTCACCCAACACCGCACATTGCTACAAAACCAAAAATCAGCCGGGAATCTCGAGTCATGTTCTTAAATAGCCTCGTCAAATCTAGATTGGATGTTGTTTAATAGCACCAAACACCTCAGCTATATACAACAGCCAGTAAATCTGGAGAGTCTTGACAAATATCATCCTCCCGGGCGCTACATAATCACAAAGAAACAATTGACCAGACTAATTGAGATCGATTAACAAGAACAATTAAAATGGATAGCACATGTAACGCGAAAAGAAGATAGTAATATAATCAATATGTTAGCTTTCCACACTACAGCAAACAAAAGGTGAGGAAGGAAACTGTCATCAGCATTGAAAGAGCTATAACAGCTACTGGACTATTATCCTGAAATTGTTTTAAATGGAAAATTTTATAAATTTCAATCAAAAGCAGTACTGGTTGAGCGGTCAAAGAATACCAAATATTTCCTTGTAAGGAAACGGCTAATATTACCATTACCATATATTGTCAGTATTTTTAAGTCCAATAGTTTCAATTTCGATATTTTATATTTACATATTTTCATCAATAAAAGATATATTTTTATCTGATGGAACTGGCATATTTATGATAATACATTTTTGTTATTCACGTCATTCTTTGAGAAATACAATTCTCTATCTTTTCAAGTATATCCCTCATCTGTGGGGAATTTGTCTAGTATTCACTGACATATAGGAGTTTATTTACACGGTGCGATGAATAAATTGTTGCCATTTTATATTTTTAATTTCACGCATGCACGTTTTTGTTTTTGATTTTGTCAACTGAACAACATAGAAGGGTCAGTTGGGCACCGTCTGGGAGAAAAAGAGCGCCATTCACTCCACCAGAAATTTGGAAACGGCATGGTGTACTGTTTGGCATTCGCACTGGAAGTGCCAATACAAATATTTCAGAGTGTTTAGATGTCAATCTGAGGTCAGTGCAGAGGGTTCGGAACGAGTTTGATGAGTCTAATGGCGATTTCGAATGTATTTGTAGTGACCACTTGTGATATCGACGTTATGCCTCCATTCATCTTATCACAAGTCCTACTGGACGACCCTATGTCTGGCAACAGGACTCTGCACCATGCTACACAAGCAGGTTAACCTAATCATGGCCGTGAGACAATTTCTGTGACTACATCACCCCTTACCTCTAGCCACCTATCAATACGTAAAATCTAACTCCTCAAATTGCACCCTCTTGATTATTATGTGTGGGGTGCACTTGAGTGAGAGACCAACAAAATTCTTTGTAACACCGAAATGAACTGAACGCAAATTTCTTCTTTATCTGTGAGGAGAGTGTGCAGCTTTAACTGCCATGTAGGATGACTGATATTACATAACATTTTAGTCATCTTTTCGTTGTTTCTAATGAAATTTATTTTCTTTGGCGATTCAGTCAGTCAGTTAAGTGGCATTGGGGTCACAGGCTTGGGGGATTATGTCTCTTTTGGTTCATAACTGACTAGGCAGTGATTTTGTCGCAGTTGGTTGACATTTGTTTCTGCGGTAGTTTGGTTGCCAAGCTAGGCTATAGGACCCAGTCTGTCATTCTATTAAACACATAGCTAAGGATGGATTCATACCTTTTCCATAATTATCTGTGCGTAAGTGAATATATCGATCTTGACTGGGATTCGAACTCGGCTCCCTGATTTCTCATTCCTAACCGATATCAATTACACATCAGCATTCGAGATTTGGTGATAGGAGGCCAGATATTACATGACAATTCGGTACTCTTTTTTTGTTTCTAATGAAGTTTTCTTGTTTTTCAATACGTTGTTTAGCTTTTAGAAGAGATCTTTACAGAAAATTCATCAAGTAAATCCTAAAATTGTCACAGGTTCTTAATCTAGCAATGTTTACAGGAATAAAAATAATCGTTTTTTTTTTCCTTTAATGGCTGAAAAATATGTTAAAGTGCAACAAAAGTTCGACGAAATATGTCGGATTCAAAAATCTGTTTATAATCAAATCAGAATTTGTTGAAAAAAAATCTCGAAAGCTTCCAAAAATACAGTGGTTTTTCGTGAATCAAAACTCTCGCCTCCTTTTTAGTTACTCAACAGTCAGTAGACTTACAAACCGATTCATTCTGGGGATAGAAACTTGGACATCTTTTTTTTCAGCCGGATTCCTTTTCTTCTATCCGTGACCGATTCTCTCACGCGAGATTGAATATGTCATATTCCAACCTTGATCAGCTAGCAGAAAAACCTGCTAAAAAAAAAAAGAATACTTAACCTGAACGTATAAATACCTACATTGCACTTTAAGCACCAAGAAACGTGTAATTACGGGCATTTCTCAAAATATTGACGTTAGTTTTATTATTTTGAACTCGTAGGATTAAATTCCTTCGTATAAGAAAATATCTTCCGCATGGTTACCTTAACATACATGTATCTTGTTATATTTATAGAGTCGGACGTACGTTATCCTTTAACCAAGATACACACTGGAACATGGACGTGCTCAAAGGAATATCTGCGCATGCGTATATTTTACGTGCGTCAGAGTAAGATTCAAGATACACTCGCGACTTTGTACACAGTGACACCTCGCTGTAGCTTACACATTTGCATACGCGAGTTGTCATAGCGAAGTACGTCTGCTCTCCTACTGTTAAAAATTGAAATCGCAGTGCAACCAGATGTATGTATCAGATCGGAACAGGTCCCCCAATAACCCCTTCCCTAAAAAAAATAAAAAAATAAAAAAAGAGATAAACAAAATAGAAATAAATAAAAATAACAGGAAATGGGTGGAAAAAAGATGCCATGCTCCTTCTGTTTCTATTTCTTCTGGAAAAAAAAAACGGCTTTGTCAGTTTGATTAAAACACCCCACGCCAGGGAGACAGTTCGATACTAAAGTTATCGGGGAGAAAGCGTCCGACACTGTGTCCGTATCGTCTGTGCCTTCCAGTCGGACGCCATTACGAAACTAAGCAAAGGCAAGCAAGCAAGCAGACATCTTTGTTGCAACGGGAGAAAATAAAATAAAAATTAACCAAGAAAAAAAAAAATAGAAAATAAATAAATAAAAAAAAAGTCACGGAGAAATAGAGAAAAGAACAAGAAGAGGAAATAAGAAGAAAAATATTGTCCAAAAAAGAACAAGAAAATTGAATACACACACACACACACAATTAAATAAAAAAAGAAATAATGGAAGATGCAGACGATTCTGGTAGTAGTTGTATTGTCCCCATGAGGGACAGTTGGATTATGTGCATCTTTCCCAATCAAATCTATTGCGGGTCTCTTTCTCTGAGGCTCATTCCATGACAGGCCATGTTCTTCGTGTTCTTCCAGCACACAGTCGACGCCAGAGTATTTTATTGTTACTTTTTTTTTTTTTTTGCTTTTGTTGTTTACAGAAAATAACGATTATGGGTGTTATTTATTTTTGTTTTTGTTTTCTACACCGGCTATTACTCATGGTCCTCAGAGACCATGTCACCCAAAAATCTATATTTTTATTTTCTGTTATTTTTCGCTCAAAATAATTTTTTAATAAATCTGTTTTATTTTTTCTGTGCTAACATTGTTGTTGTTTTGTTGTTGTTTTTTTTTTCCGTATTTTGTGTTGTAGTCTTCTTTAGCCAAGTTCCTTTTATTTTGTCTTTGATTTTGCAGCCGACCAGAGTTTTCGAACAAATTCTCCTTTCTTTCTTTCTTTCTTTCTTTCTTTCTTTCTTTCTTTCTTTCTTTCTTTCTTTCTTTGCTGCATTGAGACCACAACAATATTTCTTTTCGTCATTCACCCTTTCGTTCTTTCTTTCTTTCTTTCTTTCTTTCTTTCTTTCTTTCTTTCTTTCTATGTGCTGAATTTTCTTTTCACATTTTATATTCCATTTAACTATTATATTAATTTCTTAATGTTTCTATTTCTCTTTCTTTTTTTTTCCTTCCCGTCTTTCTTTTCTCGTTTTATATTCACTTCAACTAATCTTAGGTAATATTTTTAATGTTTCTCTTTCTTTTTTTCTTTCTGTCTTTCTCATTTTATTTCTCTATTGACTTTTTTTCTTTAATTATTTCCTTCGTCTTGTTTTGCATTTTTCTTTGCTTTTCATTTGTTCTGCTTTTAGATTTTCGTTTTTCTTCTTTTCTTTTTCTTTCTATTCCTTCTTTCTTTCTCTTTTCTCAATTTTCTTTCATTCTTTCTTTTTGGGCAATTTCTATTATTCACTTAGTTTTTTATCATAAAACATTTATTTTCCTTTTAAGCAGTCATCATTTTCCTTTATTTTTCTTTCTAGCTTGGAGTTTTTTTTTCATTCTTTCCTTTTTCTTTATTTTTCTTTCCCATTTTACCTTTTCTTTTTTTCTACTCTTCATTGTATTGATTCTTCTCTCGTCGTCTTTCTTAATGATCCAACTTGTTTTTCTTTCTTCCTTTCGTTTTCTTTCTTTCTTTTTCTTTTTTTCGTTTTCTTTCTTTCTTTTTTCTTTTTCTATTTTCATGTCTTTTAACTATTTCCTTGTAATTTTCCCCACTCTTTTTTTGTTGTCTTTCCTCACCCCTGTATATTTCTCTATAACGTTTTCATTAAAATATTTTTTAATTATACTCTCTTTCTTTCTTCTTTCTTTCCTTTTTCTTTCTTTTTTCTTTCCTATTTTGTTTCTTTTTTCTTTCTTTTTCTTTATTGGTTTTCGTCTGTGTTTTCAGTTTTCCATTTTAATCTCTTTTTAAATACTTTCTTTCACTCTTTTAAGATTTTTTTTCATTTTCTAGTTACCTTTTCTTTTCAATCATTAATTTTAAAAAAGTAATTGTTTCATTTATTTTCGTCTCTCATACTTTTTTCTTACACGTTTCATTATTTATTTCATTCATTCCTTTCATGTTTTTCATTAATTCTTTGTCTTTCTTTCTTCCATTTTTCTTTCTTTATTTATTACTTCCATTTGTTCATTCTTTCCATCTTTTGTTTTTCTCTGGCTTTCTTTCTTTCTATCTTTTTTTCTTTCTTTCTTTCTTTTTTTCTTGTGTCCTTTCATTCTTTCAATATTTCTTTCTTTCTTTCTTTATTTTAGTCTTGCGTCCTTTCTTTCTTTCTTGCGTCCTTTCTTTCTTTCTATTTTTCTTTCTTTTTTTTCTTTCTTTCTTTTTTTTCTTGTGTCCTTTCATTCTTTCAATATTTCTTTCTTTCTTGCGTCCTTTCTTTCTTTCTTTCTTTCTTGCGTCCTTTCTTTCTTTCTTTCTTGCAACCTTTCTTTCTTTCTATTTTTCTTTCTTTCTTGCATTCTTTCTTTCTTTCTTTCTTTCTTTTGTCCTTTCTTTCTTTCGGAAATGTTAATTGGAGAGCTGAGTTCCAATTCTAGTCGAGCTTATTATATTCACCTACGCGAAAATACTCTTGAGAAAAGTATAGATCCACTTGTTCCCCCTGCTATGGGTTAAGTAGCAAAACTTGTATTATTAAACCATTAAATATTACAACCTAAAAAAATATATATTCTGGCATTAAATAACCTGCAAAAGATTGATAAACCGTAAAAAAAACATTAATTCCTCAAAATATGTCTTCATGTCTCCTTTCCACAAATCCCATTTCCTGCCATTTCTATATCCTTGACCATTTAACACATTTCCCCCTCTTACTCTCTCATCTTGTGCATGATTTCTTTCTTTCATTGTTTCTAAAGATGACGATCAAGCGGCAAGCTATCTAAAAGGTAGTTTGGAGATTTTGAGGAGCGTGGAACTACCTCTAAATTGCTGTTCCTCTCAGGTCTGCCCTTTTACGGTCCCAGCTATGGCAAATAGGGAGCCCCTAAAAAAAAAAAAAAACTAAAGTCACTACGAAAGTATAAAAATACATATTTATAGTAAAAATATTTTCATTACATTATTTGGTCTCTTGTCCTCATCTTTGTCGCCATATTTATTACAACGTTTCGGCCTTTCAGTATCTGTCTATATTTCTGAGATGAGGTATTATGTACACTGTTTACATTATTCGGACTATTGTCCTCATCTCTGTTGCCATATTTATTACAACGTTTCGGCCCTTCTGTATCTGTTTATATTTCTGAGATGAGGTATTATGTACACTATTTATATTATTCGGACTATTGTTTTCATCTTTGTCGCCATATTTATTACAACGCATTACATATGGAGAGAGATGGGAGATCATCGCCATCAATGGAATCACGTTGAGATCATAGACAAAGAACACAATTGGAAAATTCGTAAACTTAATGAATCAGCACATACGCTAAGCCACAAATATATCCTGAGCCGACCAAGCATAGAAATATATGAGAACCAGTAATAAGGAGTGCCAGAGAAAAGAGATAATAACAACAAAAATTGCAAAATGAGCTCTGGTAAAAAATGATGGTGAAGACATTAGGTTTATAATAGCCAGAAATTCATACACAGATGTCCTCAAGGCACATGGCACAGTGGCTAACGGCGTTAGTTAGATCCAATGACAGGGCGCAAAGAGTGTGGGTTCAATACCCAATTAAGGCAGTGGAGAACTTTCAGGGGGAAATTAACTGATTCCAACCACTTGAAGAAGGCCGGAGCGTACAACGGCCGAAACGCTGTAATAAATATGGCGACATGATCCAAATAATGTACATAATAACTCACCTCGGAAATACAGACAGATAGTAAAAACACTAGCAATGCATTATTATATAAAGTTATTAACGATACCTATTTATAGTATAATTACCAACAACATATTTTCAAAGCAAAATGACCAGAAATACATTTTATAGTAGAACTAGCAGCATAGCCCGGCGTTGCCCATGCTTGATTCAAAAATCGTACAACTCATGTAGCAATCGCTATCACCTGACTTGCCTTTAAAGGAGTGCCCTTTGCGGTGCTGATGTTGCTACATGCCTTACTTCTTGCCTATCTCACAATGCGAATTTTTTCTAAGCTCTATACTAAACATTAAATCTGTTACGAAAAAAGAACTAAACAAAATGAACACAAAACGATCAGCTTTAAAAAAGGACTCGTAACTGAAAAAACCGAATGAAAAAAGAATGTTAACAACAAATAATTTTTCACACCCAACCCACTTCTGCGGAATCAGAATTAACGTTGAGTTTAAGCAGGGGAATAAGCCAATTGGAGTAAAGTGCTATGCAGATTTAAATTTTTCCCTCATGTGACGAATGCAGCTATCGATATTTTTGCATGCTAGCATGCTAGTTAAAATTCGTGTCAGTCAGCTGTTGACTCTTACGCTGGCCAATAGAATCTTCCTGCCTATTCGTGGCAGCCAGCTATTGGCTCTCACTCTGGCCAGTAGAAAAAGGCCGCAAACGACATGAAAACTGCCGTAGAAGCATGAAAAAATCTATTATTTCCACTATCGATGGGAGTTGGGAAATGCAAAGTCGCTCTTGGCATTCCCGCTAACTTGGAGCATGTGCATGTAAATTTTGGTGCAAATCCGTCGAAAATTGCGGCCGTGCATTCGTCACACACACACACACATACACATATCCTGCCTTTTATAGATAGAGATGACTAACAGTACCATTTTATCTGTAGTTGTATGCATACAATGACGTTCGGAATCTTCATTAAATAACCCTTAGAGGTTGATGTGTCTCTAAACAAAATCAATCAACCAACAAAACCTAAATATGTCACTAAATAATGCTAATTGTATGCTGCAATGGTAAAATTGGGTAGGTTAGAAGATTCGCTTTCTGACCCATGAGAGTCAGGTTCGAGTCTCACCATAACCGTTTTGTCAGCAAAGTGACTTCTTGAAGTTATCGGCCTGAGAGAGGCGATCCCAGCGTACAGTATCTTCGGAACGCGTCTCGAAATTAATTGGCGGCAGAAGAATTATCGTTGAACAATTAAATGGTAAGCTTAAATATTAGTACAATACTCAAATGCAACGATCAATTTTGAGGTCTTCTATCGTTTATTGTTGCCTATCGCATGTACTACTCCCTATATATTGTGATGAATGTCCAATAAAGAACCCTCCACAGGAGCTAGCTCAAATGTCGCTCGATATGACGGTTTTAAATTAGTTTTGAATATATCGTAAAATGGTAATTGTATTTGTATATAAAAATGTGCCTTTCCACATAAATCAGTCAGTTATGTGCTATGCGTAACACGCGATCATGCATCTTTCAATTTTTTCCCCGCAGTAGGTTACCATTTCTTTCGACGGTAGATCAATTGCCATCCAGCTATTTACTCATAGCATTGGGAGAAGAAGATTCACACTTTTCCCAAGGGTATTAGCACGTAAGTGAATGTAATGGATTCGACTGGAATTCGAACTCGGATCTCCGATTCCACAATCCAAGCCGCTATCCATTACTCCAGCGTGCCTCCCGTTCCACTTAAATGCTTTTTCTATTTCAATGATTTGATTATTTCTGTTTTCTGCATATTTCTGATGTTTTTTCGTCTAGTTTTTGTTTGATTATATCGGCCTAAAGGCAACTCGTTTAATGAGTGTTATGGGATCTTACCCATAATAATAATAATGGACTATTCCATACTTAATAAATACTGCGCCTCAGTCAGTAGTTCAAGTGGAGTCTGTAGTTCAAGTCCGAAACAGAGTCGCGTTCAGACAATTACTGCAAGACATTGGAAAAGTGATACTAGTCTAGACTACATTGTTCTCTCTACTAAACATGATTGTTCATACTAACACTTCTACTTCTCTGTATATATTCCTGTTTGTAATATATCTGTGTTATTCCATATACGTGTTCGAGTTCTTCTTTATTGGTTCTATCTTGGACTATCACTATGGTACGAGGAACCGGACCATAACAAGTGGCGACGAGGAAACCAACTCTCTACGCGGAGGACAAACCTTTTTTTTTTTTTGCTATCCGTCGCGCATAACAAGTGGCGACGAGGAAACCTTAAAAGGGTAATAAGAGTCTAATTCTAAAAAAAAAAAAAATTCTTTTCAAATTTTTCACTGACAACAAAGGAAAGTTTGTTTTTTTTGTTGCATGCACAGGCTATACAGAATATCAGTATTGGAGTTCTTCTTTATTGATTCTATCTTGGACTATCACCGTGGTACAAGGAACTGGACCATAACAATGAGAACTAAAATAAAAGATCAGCCGTTTAGAACAGCACTTCTGTAAGTATTGGTGTGTGAAAATTCCCCTAAACGATTCGGATCTAGGTCCGCTTGGCCGATGTAACACTGAAAGTGTGAAGATACAAGTCTTCAGGTTACGCGTATAAAACAATATTTAGATTGACTACCGTTTAGAGCATACACGATCTTGGAAGGGTACAAAGGCTTGAATAAAACACTTTACTAAATTGAATTGATAAACGAACTCAAACCCTTGCGCAAATTACTAGAAACAAAAATAATAATTCCGTTTTTATTTCCTTTTATTCGTATTTTTCTAATAGTACTTCGTATGCCCATTCCACGAAGTGCTTCTTTGCAGATTAACTACAGATTCTCGATTGGATTTAAATCAAGAGAGTTTCCGAGCCAGTCGATAGTAAGTTCATTTGCTCACTGGTAAGACTTGCTAGTGTGTTCGTGGAGCGCTACAATTTTCGTACGCTTCCTTGAAGTAACGACCATAGCAGACAATGGCCGTAGGACAACTAATCGACAGTCGAGACAATAGTGTCTGGGCGTGATAAAAATTTGATGCAATCTCGGATGACGCAATATTTTTCAAGGCCAAACAAATTTAATCATACACCCTGAAAATAGATTCATATGACTTCATACCCCTGCAAATGATCTAATCTGAGGAAAATAGAAATCAATTACACCCTTTCACACCAGTGGGTCTAAAACTGACGGTATGTTGAAAGGAACGAAGCTAAAGCGGTTGTTTCAATTATTTTTCATAGGGTTGTAAAATGCTGATAATTTTGGTGGCGAAGAATTAATTCAAAGAAAACCTAAGAATAACAATAGTTTAAATAAGATAAACTCGCTCATTCTTTTGCTACATCTGGTGATAACGCTTCAGCTTCATCAACAGTTCAAAAGTGGGCAGCTGTATTTTAGGAGGGGGATAGTTTTGAAGATGATCCAATGTCTAGACGTCCTGCAACTGCCACAACCAAGGAAAACATTGATCGTCTTCCCCGTTTGGTGATGAATGACAGGCTATAATTCAAATCGTGAGAGAGTTGAGAACATTCTTAGCTATTACTTTAATTATTTGCATTATTCGGACTGTTATCCTCATCTTGATTGCATTATTCATAACTTTTCGGCCGTTGTACGCTCGGGCCATTTCCAGGTGATTAGAATTTCGAAAACACGGCTCAGTGGTTAAGGATGACGTT